CAAAAAGGCGGGGCATAGAGGAGAAACAATAATGTACAGTATGTGGAAAATAATGTGTTTTTTTTACTTTAAACCGCATAAACACATTTCATTACACCAAATACACAAAATAATGTTCTTTTTAGCAGCATCATATGACCCCTTTAAGTTATAATGTCAGAATTACAAGATTACTTTTTTACTCAGAATTGGACTTCATAACTTGCAAATTGCAAATTTATATCTCGCAATTCTGAGAAAAAAGTCACAATCTTTTATTTTTAAATTTTTTTTTTAATTCCGTGGGGAAACAAGCTCCCATAACATAGTGTGTATATAAAAAAATATAAAAGGCAAGTATTTTTGCAGTGTTCCATCTCTATTTGATTCATAGCAGATCTAGAGGAAATTTCATTTATTATTGTATTTAAGAAGGGCACTGTCTACTTTGTCTGTGTTTTACTCTATTTTTGATCTACCGCAGTCCTAAATCACATCTAAAAGGCCTCTAATCTCATATTGCATAGGGCAGTGTATCAGCGAGTAGATTTGACAGCTCTGGCCCAGACTTTGCTTCACAGAGCTTTTAGGCCCTGTTCTTTAGTGCTGACATGTGTTCCTGTACGAGTCTAATTGAAACGCAAGTGTTCCTCCAAGAGGAAGACTGTTGTTCCCAGCAGAGCCATCTCACACACACCGCTGCTCCTGCACGCCACTATTGCTGTCCCGTCTGCAGACCTGAATAGAGATGAGATGTATTTGTGAACTGTGAAACCATACTGCAGCATAGCCAGTGTGCTCTGCCTGTGCAGGACTAGTTTACCCGGCTTATTCATAGGTTTATTGGTTTGACATTGAATGTCATTGAGAGCTCTTAAAGGGATAGTTCTCCTATAAATGAACAATTCTCTCATCATTTACTCACCTAAATATATTGCAGGATGGTTATGGTAGATTTGTATGAGGATCAGACTGAAATTTGAAATCTTACCTCCCATTTATAGCTCTCAAATCTCTTTGACGGTGTTATGGCGGAGAAGTGGAGCATATAACAACCCAAATTTCAGTCTGTTTGTCACATAAAGCTATCATATGGTTTCAGAAGACTTAAAAATAGCTGTTGTGTTGAAACTGAAATAAGTTGTGTTACTGATTTAGTGGTACTTTTTGGAGCTTGGCAACCACATTTACAGTACTTTCATTACGTTCATTGTATTTTGTGTTCTGCTGAATGATACGAAATTGAGTAAATGACAGTGTTATTTTAGTATTATTTTAAATAATATTTATTTATATACTATTATAGTTTTTATTAATATTAGCTTTTGTTTTCTTTATTTTCTTATATTTTATAAATTTTTTATTATTATTACCATTTAGGTTTAATATATTTCTGTTTCTGTTTTAGTTTTATTTAATTACATTTAATACATCTAGTTCTTAAACATATTTCAGTTGGTTGCCCGAGTAGCATTTATTTTCTTTTATTTTTTTATTTTTTTTAATTTTCTTTTATTTTGCAAAACATGCTTTAACAGTTTTAGTTAATAATAATTACCCTGGTAAATAATGTCAAAATTTAAATTTTGATTGAACTGAACCATTTAACGCAGTAACCAAAGGATTTCTCAAACTCCGAATGTTTTTAAAGTGATAGTTGAAGAAGAAGGACCATATTTTGAATGGAATCCATTAATCCAATGTTGTTTGTACCCCACCAATTTTCAATGAGATGAGATAAAATACGATAAAATAAATAAAATAAACACTAAAACCAAAACAAGACTATGAATGTTCTGAATGAATGAAATGCCTTTGTCCGTGTTCACTCCGTCTCGAATCGCGCTCACGGAAAGCACGAGTCTCTTCCGTGGCTCGGTACGCTTGCAACTCGTTTTTTTTTTTGTCTCGAGCAAGAAGACTGTATGACATTCACGTTACATAATTTTACTGATTTTTACGTAGAAAGGGCGACAGCACACCGCATTAAAAGAAATGAACGTTCATGTTTTCATAACCGCTGGCCAAATTCAAAAACAATACTAAAATTAAATCATCTTTGAGAGCAAGGGGGCCCCCTGGTGTTTCGGGGGCCCTACGCAGCTTGCGTACTTTGCGTATAGGGAGGATCGGCTCTGGATGAGTATAAGTGAAAGAAATTTTTTTATATATTTTGTGTATTTTAAATATTTGTGTATTTTGAATGAAATCTTCCCTGAGTGCTGCAATGCTGATGATTTTCATCGTGTGTCAGTGCTGTATCGATTAAATACTCATCAGAACCCACTTCCCAGACAGCAACATAGTTTTGGCCCAGATCCGGCCCACATCTGGCCCATGTGAAATCCATGCGGGCCAGATGTGGGCCGGATCTGAGCCGACACTGCTTGCTGTCTGGGTTGCATGGATTTTTCTATAACAAACACTGTCTAATCAGCCCTGAAATCAATCAATATTAAAAATGATTTTCACAATGGCAGCGCAGGTCTCTACTGGCAGAGAGGTGCACATGCGGAGAGAACATGCAGGGATTGTATGAGTGAGAATGAAACGACTACAGAGGACAGCATAAGGCAGATCCATGCCTGCTGCCGCCAACTGGGCCGTTTCTCCCTTGGACCAACCGCTTCCGCTGATGAGCTCATAGCGCCCCAGATTCACCTTTACAGACATTTATAGCTTTACAACCATCTCCCATTATGCAGTGTTTACTCTGAGTAAGAAGAGAAGCACGTCAATTAGTTTTATTGGCATTTATAGCTCTGCAGTCCACATGACTGGTCTGTTTCTGTGTATTCACTTGTCAGTGCCCTGATAACGTAATAGGACTTGGGCCGAGGTGTTGAGTAGAGCAGTGCTGACAGATATCCCAGATTGCCTTTTTTTGGCTGTCACTGAGAAGGCCGAATGTCTTGCCGGCTCATTATCTTCACAGACACGGGGTGATGTGGACGCTGAGAGGTGGCCGTCCGACTGATGAGCTCTATTCAGAGAGGAATACACAACAAGAGAGAGAGAAAAGAACAGGCAAATTAGATGAGAATGTGAACAAGAATGTGACTTGTTTACATGTAGTTTACAAAAAAGAAGAGTGTCGTCATTAGGAATGGGAATCGTTATTTAACTCTGTATACATATATGTATATCTCCGTGGGTGTGTGTGTGTATATATATATATATATATATATATATATATACACACACAGAGATAGATAGATGTATATTTTTTATTATATTATATTACATTATATTTTTTATATTATATTATTAAATCTGATAAAATAAATATTCTACATGCTCCATGTTCCATTTATATATATATATATATATATATATATACTGATATGATTGTGACAGATTTTTTATGATTTTCCTAATATAATGAGGTGTATATTATGTTATATTATATTACATATTAATATTATTATATTATTTAGTTGGACATGATAAAAAGTTATGACTTCTGATTTACTGAGTACGTCAGGATCCTCTCTGAATGATTCAGTGAGTCAAAAATTTAAAATACAAGAATGATTTTTAATCTTTTTGACTCAAAAGAACCAGCTGATAAGTGTTATTTGTTCAAAAATCATATTACACTGGTTGTGCTGTATAGTGAGGACACTAAAGACGTGTTGCCATCATCAGCTCTGGTTCTTCTTTCCTAACCCTAAATCTCATCCCTTTCAGGTTTGTTCAGTGAAAGATTTCTGTACAGATCTTTATCTGTGCTGTAGAGCTCCTAAGTACCCCTGAGATAATATTAATGTGGCTCAATTATGTATATTAGATTATTAATGCAATAAATGGATCCAGACCAATTTCAACAGATTGTACGAGGCAACACGGGCTGATTGTTTTATGATTTTCCCTCGGGAACAATTTAATTGCCCTTTTTCAAGGAGGCTCAATTGGTTTCTTAAATGTTTTCCTCCAGAATGTAAACTGGACGAAACAAGGTCACCGTGAGCTGCTGCACCTATTTACATGCTGCCACTGTTATCCATGTAGTCATTTGTAATTGTTCTCTTAGCTTACAAGAATTTTAATTCTGTGCGTATTACTTTCTTGCTGTTATCACAAAGCTGATTAATCATAATCAAATTTATTCAGGTAATATCACTGTTTGAAAATGCTGCCGAAGCCAAGCTCAGTGTAATAGCTTGTTTTGCATGATTTCTAGATGGTTTAAGCATGTCATTAGCTGATTTAAGCTGGTTAGATGGTTGATTGGCAGATGCCTGGTTTTTGACCTGGTAGACCATTTACCTAGCTTGTACGTCATGTATTTAATATTGTGGGAAAAATGCATTGATATGAACAGATAAACTGTGCACAGAGCAGAAAGCCATACAAATCATGTGTTTTGCAAGTCAATATAAAAAAAATGATGGTTGATTAGCTAGAATAGCAGCTGATAGACCTGGTTTTAACCTTCAGAATATACAGACTACCTGTATGATTCAGTAAATCTAAAAGAGCAAATCTTACAAAAACAAATAATTTTATTTGCTGAAGTTACTTTTTACATTAAGACAATAAGCTTTTTTTTGTTGGACTTTTTGCATTTTCATGATTTTTTTTTTTCATTATGAGATTATTTTCATGACAATTAAGCACATAAAATAGTTACTGTAATGCCATGATTTATTTTTATTTATATGTACATAAATGCTGCACAGATAAACTATTACAAGCATTATGTAAAAATACTTTAAAATGTTAAACTTTTTATTTATACTTTATACATTTTTAAGTATTTTATATATTTTTATAAATTAATACAAATATTTTATCTTATCTTATATCTTATCTGGACATGTTCATGACAGATTTGCACGATTTGCCCAATAATTTTACCATCATTGACCATTGGACCATCTTTTTACCATACCTAATAACAAGTCACCTTATGTGATGTATGATATATTTGTAAATTGGTGTGTTAATGTTGTAAAGTAATGCTTTAATACATCAGTCTTTCATCTTGAATAACAGCATGTGTTCTTGTATATTTTCAGACTGCTGTGTAGAGCTCTGAGCTCTAGAAGGTGCTGTCCAAGGTCCTGAACTTCTCCAGCCCAGCTTCACTCTACTACATGCTAACAGGCAGCTCCTGACACCCAGTTCCAGCACTCTTTACATCAACGCACGACTTTGAACCATGGAGGAGGGTTACAGAGACCGTACGGCATTCATTAAAGGTGCTAAGGACATTGCAAAAGAGGTCAAAAGGCAAGCAGGTAAAAAGGTGGGCCGCCACGTGGACAAGATGACTGACGAGTACACCAAACGCTCTTATACCCGCTTCGAAGAGGAAGACGATGATGACGATTACCCTGTGCAGGCCCAGGACGGCAGCTACTACCGCAGCAACAGCAGGGCCAACGACGACGAAGGAGCTCACAGTGACTCCACAGAAGGCCACGATGAGGATGATGAGATCTACGAGGGCGAATACCAGGGCATCCCCAGGAATGACTCCGTTGAGAAGGCCGACAGACAGGTGGGCGAAGTGGGACAGTCTCAGTTCCGGGACATGGCGCAGTACGAGGGGGAAAGGAGGAAGGACCAAGAGGAGCTAGCCCAGCAGTACGAGACCATCCTCCAGGAGTGTGGCCACGGCCGCTTCCAGTGGACCCTGTACTTTGTGCTGGGTCTATATATATAGAGGGTGAAAGAGAAACTTTCTGCTGATTTTTTTTTTTGGGGGGAAAATGTTTAGGATTGAAAACCTAAATGTATTGCAAATAAATGTAATGAAACTGGATTTATTTTCATGGTAAAAAAAAGGATTGGTTTACACAAAAATTAACAATTTTCAAAATCAAACCCTGTATGATTGTCTTTTTCTATGAAACAAAATGAAATGTTAAGCAGAATGTCCAAGTTACACTTTTCCTTACAACGAAATTGGCTGATGATATTTTACTTGTTCATGATATTTCATGGCCCTTTTTTTGAGCTTAGCAATATAAATCACCATCTGCATTTTTGGAAATGCATTATGGAAAGCAGAACCTCAGATATTCTGCCTAAAGATCTTCTTTTGTGTTGCACAGAAGATAGAAATTTCTGTCAGACTGGAACAAGTATGTACTTGTACATGTAATTTTTCATTTTTGAAAGCCAATACTGTTTAGATCCTTTGCAACATCTTAAACCAGCCTAAGCTGGTTTGCTGGTCTTATCTGGTCTAAAAAGTGCCTAAAACTCCTGTAAAACCAGCCTGACCAAGCTGGAAGACTAACTAAGACCAGCAAACCAGATTAGGTATAGAAATGTATAAGATCTCTGTCCAGTGGTCATGGGAAAATAGCTTTCTGTAACATATAAACAAAATATATCTTAAGGCCACTGTCTTTATTCTGTCTGTATTTCCACTGTCATCTTGTGCCCATTTCACCATCTGTCAGTCCGGCTTCGTACTGCCCAGTGCTGAGAAAGACATGTGTTTGTCTGAGCCCAACAAAGGGATGCTGGGTAAGTCGAGAACAGCTCATTAGCCTTTATCTGTGGTTTCTGTTATAAAGTGCTTTAATGCCCAATCTTCCCATCCACTTTTTCACCGGAATTATATCCGGAAGTGTTCTTCTCATTCATTTTTTCCAAAGATTTAAAAAAAAAAAAAAAACTTTGTTAAAGAGTTACAAGCTATGAACCAAACCAACCAGTTACAATGTGAATCAAAACACTACAAAATTTGTTTTAATTAAAAAAAGTATTTGAAAATTAGATGAAAAGACAAAGCTGTGTACTGTGATCAGGGAAAGATCACTATATTATGATTATTGTTGGCTCTTTGATAAATTGCTTGTGTTCCTCTTTTGTAAGTCTGCTAAATTCATGAATGTAAAGTACTGCAATCCCAAGAAGAATTGTGAATGATATAACCGAAATAAGCAGCATTGACGCAGTTTGAGCTATAATTAACTGACAATAGACATGCTGAACAGCACAGTGTGCTTTCATAGCTTGTTCTGACTCCTTGTGGTCAATATTCTGGTAGTCCTTTTGCATGGATGGATTCCTTGAATATCATGTTACATATCCAAAAAACAAGGTATTATCATTATATAATGTCCACAAACATTTTGGTAGTTTTAACTGCTGTGCTCATGCATGCTCACACATAAGTGTTGCTGCTCTTAGACCATATTCATTATGTTTCTTAATGTTGTCTATTTGATAAATGATCTTTTATGTGATTATTGGGACATTATTGATGTGTTTTCTTGGTCGTAAGGTTCACACCTTGGGTTATAAATGTGAGCTTGTTGTGTGCTCATGTCAGTGCTTGTTCATTGATACACTCTGCGTGGGTCTCAGCTGAGCGTGTGTATGTGAGTGCCATTGGGGAGCAGGGCCCTTGGTCTCTCCCCTGTTACAAAACAGCCCTGACTCATGCAGAAGTGCCGTCTGCATCTCTGCTGGGTCCTAGTGCTGAAATGTTTCCATGCACACGCAGCTGCAGTTCCGCTGCAGAAATGCTTCAGCCTCTGTCACATGACACTCTCCAATCAAATCCAACAGCGTGGATGTGTGGGATGAAATGGCCCGCCGGGGGTTTGTTTCTGCTCACTGCACCCAGCAGTCAACCTGCATGTTTCTCTATAGCTTTAAACGCAATGAATGAGGCCTAAACGAGAAGAAACTGCATTATTTGCTTGTGTAGTATAAAAATACTAATACTATAGTATAATACGATGGATAAAATACTATTATAAATGTAAATACTACTGAAAGTAAAAAATGTTATGACAAATCAGCTGTTAGGGAGATTTTATGGTTTGATGGATTTTTATTGAATTTGTTGGATGGATTGATGCTATAGATAGATAGATAGATAGATAGATAGATGGCAGCAGATGCACTAAAGGTGATGCCGCTGTACCTTTGACAGCACACATTTAGCCTATTTCTCACCAGAACACCGGGTGTCAAACGGCACATTAGTTCGGGTGTAACTGAAGAACAGAATATACAAACCTGCCACAGTCCATCGCGCTCCTCTCATCTGTGACACATAGACACACTGGCAGAAAGGAAAAATGGCTCTATAAATAGTCTCCCGGCCCCTCCCCCGCTTTCTCTCTCTTTTTCCCCCTCACTTCCTCAACACTGGAGCCTGTGTGCTTTCCTGTCACTGTGCGGGAGAATCACAGCCTCCTCTCTCGCCCTTCCCCCTCTGCTCTCTCTCTCTCTCTGAGGAGGAAGAGGAGGCGGAGGTCAACAGTCTCTAGGCACTTGCCCCGCCCATCCCCTCTCCTCCTCCTCTGAGACCCCTGTGACATAATGCAGGTGGCCCCGCCCACTCAACCATCACCTAGCCCTAATTGGCTGGGTCGTGTAGCATCAGTGTTGCAGCAGTAGCGTGAAACACAGACCTTCCCTTTAAATTCAAGACACGTGGTTAACCGCGAGTGCGGCCGTGTTTATTAATGCTGTCAGGTGAGCGAGTTGTGTAAAATCACACAGCACATGTGTTCAGTGTTGTCATCTCTATTGTTCAGGTCTCCCTAGCAAATGTTCTCTGCAGCATTGCCTATGAAGGTCATAAACAGGCCTACATGAGTGCAGAATTCAGAATAAAGTGCTGTAGAGTTCCACAGAATGCAAGCGCTGTACACATTGTTTATGGAATATTATTGAGAATATGACCATGCTTTCACCTTTTCTATAGTATACACTAAACAAAACAATACAAATTTTTTTGTATAATGTGAAGTTGTTCTTTAACAATTAAAACAGCATTTAATACAACAAAAATATGCAAAAATATTTTTTGTTTTTTTTTGTCTTGTTTACTAGAAAAATATCGTTTTATTGTTTATTTAAATATATATATATATATATATATATATATGCTAAAATGTATAATGCATTATAAATGTATTCATAATGTATGTTAAATACATTATATCTTTTCATATATAACTGCAATTAAAAACCTAACAGTGCAGGTGTTGTGCAATGCAGGGTAATGCATAATACTTTCTAACAATAAATAGATTCATATTATAAATGTATCATAAATGTGGTTACAATTATTCATAAGATCATACAATACATTATAAGAGGCATTACAGTGCATATTTAATCCTTTATAAACACTTCATAATGCATTATATATAAATACTTCAAGTAAAGTGTTACCAATTTTTATTTTTTTTGCAGTGTAAACAGTTTTTGCCAGTAAATGCTTTGACAGATTCACCATTGTCTTTATGTTGTTTTGCATTACCCATTATTTTATCCCATCAAATTCAATCCAGATTGCAAACACAACTTTCTGCTGCTAATAAGAGAGCACAGAGCGGTCTTGTCATATTTAAATCCCAATGTCCCATTTTAGTGTTACTCCTCTCCGCTAATGCATTGCCCAATGGACACAGCTCTTCAGTCAGAGGTGCTGAGAGCCGCGGGCATGTCCTGTGCAGTGTAAGCCGATGGGCCCTGGAGAGGAGGGGTTGAGATAACAGACCCCTGTGCTGCATTGCAGTGATGCCTATTAAGGCTCATCATCACGGCTGTCCGCCATAGTGGCCCATTATGAGGCCAAGGTGAGAGAAAAGTAGTGCTGACAGCTGCCTCACAAAGTCAGCTTTAATGCTACTTCAGCATTTGCAGCACCATCTTAAACACCTGCAGATCTTGCAGAAACACCAGACACCAGCACAGATGCTCATCAGAGTATAGCTGTTGGTTCTGATGGTGAAATGAAGAGAAATGTTTATAAATGCAATTCATTCAATACTGAAAGGTATTACTAAATGTAGTCCAATATAGTTAAAAATTAAAGTGGGTTTTACCCAATATGTGTGTACAGCTTATACATATATACTAATCATAACATTTAAAGAGGTGATTTATGTTAATGCCATATCTCTTGCCAAAAAACATGTAAAAAAATAAAAAAAATTTTTACATTTAAAATAAATAATTCATCTCTTAATTCTAATGCCAAAATATATAAGGAAATACAGTATGCTATCTATCTATCTATCTGTCTATCTGTCTGTCTACAGTGCCTTGCAAAAGTATTCAATTCAAAAGTAAAGTTTTTTACATTTTGTTATGTTGCTGCCTGCAATTTACTTTCAGTGCCATGATATTTCTGACCAAAATACATGTAGAATATATGTGAAAATATACTTTTTAAATTTAAAATATATTTTGTCTATTCCTTCAAATGCCACAAATGCAAGAAAATACATTTTCTGTCTTTTGGGTGAATGCAAAATGTATTTTTTAAAATATATTTTGGACTATTTATGATTGGAGGCATCTACGCTGCTGCCATGGCCTGGGCCATCATTCCCCACTATGGTAACCATCCCGCTCACATTGTTTAGGTTGAGTGCTGTAGCTTAATGGTTAATTGATCTTGGCTGGTAGCTGGAAGGTTTTAGATACATTAATTTAACTATCACCACCGTGCCCTTGAGCAGGGCATTTAACCTCAGGTAACTCCACAGGGGACTGAACCGGTAACTTAAGATGGAGATGTCACAGAAAGTAATTCCACCAATTAAGGATTTAGGGACAATATGAAGTGGTTATAAATCTCATCAGCTTATATTCAAAAGTATGACATGATTTTAAAAGCCTAGTTGCCATGAATATCAGAAATGTCAGTCACTTGAGTGTCGTAATTAGACTGTAGTCTACACAATTTATTAGTTGTAAATTAAGTGGTATTTTTAGCATTAGCTTTTTAAAACGTTTACAGTCAAAAATGGAAACAATTTGATATCTTGAATTATTTTGGATATTTTATGACTTTGTAAATGTGCATTCAGTGCAGGGTCAGAAATGAATAGGGACTTGGGGCAAAAATGCCACCAAAATCAATAAAAATGCCCCCTAAATTCAAGATACTCAGGGCTCCAGACTGCGCCTAAAACGGTCACATTTGCGACCAAAAATATTAGTTTGCGAGTGATACTTTTGCCATTGGCATCTGTATAAATTTACATGTTATGATTTAAAAATGTGCATGTAATTCCTTTTTTCCCTCATTGTTTTGCGATCACATCTTTTGTTTATGTTGACGTAATAAACTGAGACGATGCACATCAAAGTTTTAGAGGAAAAACAGTCCTCATCTCTGCCGAACACCAGCGTTGACGGCACACCTGCTAAAAGCAGGCTCCAGTTGTGGCGGCATGAGAGAGAGCGAAAATGACGGAGAGACGTGCGAAGTAAAAGTGCAGAAAAGCAGTCTATTTTGTGCACAACTTGAACAAACTACAACAGGTAAAACTGTCAGCTGTGTGGAAA